GCATGAGAGGCACATGCTGGTACATCAGGGTATATATATGTATGTATTCCCAATAGTGTTGAAGACAAAAGATAGTTGTGTAGTGAAATGTGATGTGAATGTACACTTCATACCATAACAAAGTTCAGCAAGAGTTGTTGCTTAATCTTTGCTGGTTTCTTACTGTTGAGATTAGGGATTAACACTATGCTTTACATCCATCCCTTAAATCTATCCCTTAACCTAGTGGCTGAGTGATCCTCTGTGCAATAATCAGTATGAGAATGACTTTATCAAGGACTCAGATCTCACTGCAAAAGAAAATTTAGAGTTAGATGCATTTGGTCTATCTATGTTGTGTTGAGGATGGGTTTGACGTTTAAAATTTTCCTTGGAATTGTAAGACTGAATGTTTCAGGCTACGGCAGTAACAGCAAAGCAAAGACAGCTGACTGAAGTTACAGCATCATTTGTAAAAACATTTTATTTGAATTAAATTTTAAATTTAATTTATTCCAGGAAAGTTTTATAATGTTGATGAAACTTGTATCTTCAACCTCAAGGTTAAATAAATCAGTGTTCATAAGTGTTAGTGGTATAAAGGCAGAAGAATTGTTTTGTATGGGAGGACTTGCATCAAATGAAACCATTGGAAAGCTGAAAGATAGTATCGTTTTGGAGTTTTCTCAGAGTTACAAGAGTGTCCAAGTCATAGGAAACTTACACCCTTCCTTCTGTGGTCGGTAATCTCAGTTTTGAATTTGGAATGAAAGATGATTTCAGATATATGTGTTTTTTATATGCATGCCTGTGTATCCCTAAGTTATAGTATTGCTAGCCCATTATAATGCTAATATTAGGAAGTCAACCGTGATGTCATGCCTGTTGTTGTAACATGCCAGTTATTTGAATCCATATGCCTGGCACGGTTGCTCGAATACTGCATATATTGCATACACTGGGCACTTGCCCGTGGCCCTGTGCCAGGGGCGTCTCAGATGGAGCAGCACTGGTGGCATTTGCAAAATGATCAGCTACTCCAGGAAAATGAGAGAGATGACTCAACTGGGATTTGAATGTTATAAAATCAGTTCAGAAATATGCGTGGTTATCCCCCTGGCAAAGTCAGGGTATCTCCTATTGTCTTCTTTTTTTTTTTTTTTTTTTAAATCTGGTCTTGGTGGGATGATTCTTTCTTTCTTTCTTTCTTTCTTTCTTTCTTTCTTTCTTTCTTTCTTTATTTATTTTATTTCAGCATATTATGGGGGTACAGAAGTCTTCTTTATAATTACCATCTGTGTCCATGTTTTATCTTTAAACATATCTTGCCTTTTCAGGGCTGCTTTAGTTTTCACTGTAACCAGACAAAATTTGAAAGAATTTAGGTTTAGGATCTGAGAGAGCAAAGGTATCCCATAGTGTAATTTCTCTCTATAGTCTCACTGTCTCCTAGGGTCTTTTCTTATCAAAGAATAGAACAGTGATCAAGCATATATTTACTGAACATTTGGTATCTTTTTAACATAAGGTGCAAATACACTATTTTTTTTAATGTCTGGAAATCACTTAAAGCATTAAAGAGAGTTTGGAAAAAAACTGGCTTGGAGTACTGTGTTCATAATATTTCTTCTAATCATCGTTTCAAGGCTGAAATCTTTAAAGTAAGGCCTAGAAATAATAATACTTGGACATGATATCTGAGTAGATTGAAGCTAACCATGAGTACTACGTATGTTGAAAATAAAAGTAGCTTGTATTAATAAAATGGGATCCTCTTAACAAAATATTACTTTAAATTTTGAACCAATTATTATTTTCAAGCTGTGTTATTGTCTAAGAAATTATACAGTTATATATTCTTTATTTTTTATATGAAAGAAATATGAAGGAAACAATTTAAAAAAGTAGCAGTGATTTATATTTTGAAATCATGGGAGATATATCACAGAAGTAGTACAAAATCAGCCCCATATTCTATTTCACTCTCCTGTCCTTTTTTAGCAAAAATTATGAGCAAAGAAACTAAAAGTTTAAATCCTGATGTCTCACAATCCTAAATCAAGTTCACTTTTTCCATTTCCCTGCTACCATCCTACTTCAGCAATCTTGTATTTGATTCATCACACCTTGCTTTTCTATAGGTCATTTTTTTTTTTTTTTCTTGAGATAGGATCTTGTTCTGTTGCTCAGGCTAGAGTGCCGTGGCATCAGCCTAGCTCACAGCAACCTCAAACTCCTGGGCTCAAGCGATCCTCCTGCCTCAGTCTCCTGAGTAGCCAGGACTACAGGCACGCGCCACCATGCCCGGCTAATTTTTCTATTTTTAGTAGAGACAGGTCTTGCTCTTGCTCAGGCTGGTCTCCAACTCCTGAGCTGTAGCAATCCTCTGGCCTCGACCTCCCAGACTGCTAGGATTACAGGCGTGAGCCACCACGCCCGGCCTCTATAGATCATTTTTCACAAAATAGCCAGAATTATGTTTTTATAATGTACATCAGATCACATCACCTGCTGTGGATTTACATTACACTTAGAATAAAATCCAGAATCCTTGCCGGGGCTCACAATGATCTGGTTCTTCATACCTCTCAACGACATCTACTTGCTACACGGTACCTCATTCCACTCGTTTCTGTGCTCCAGTTACCGCCGAGTTTTTAACTAACTAGCTCACTCTGTTAGGTGACATTGCACTTGGTATTTCCTCTTCCTGGATTGCTTTTTCTCACATCTTAACAGCATTGCGTCCTTCTTGTCCTCACTGACTGATCTTAAAGACAACTTTTATAAAGAGGCCTTTTCCTGATCACCCGACCAAGGGAGCTCGCAGTCACTCACTGTCATATCACTCTGCTTTGTTTTCATTTATTCTTTTATGAAACAAATATTTATTGAGCACCCATTGTGTGATGAGGAGCACAATAAAGTGCCTGCCCTCAATGGAGCTTTCATTCCAGTGACGGGGGATAATCAATAATCATCACTACCTGGTACTCACATCTAGACCCCCACCAGAAATAGAGTAGAATACTCATGAGTGCAATGACGTTTCATGCCTGCTGGAGTTAGTGAAGAGGACTTTGAGAGCCTGCTCTTTCTCACACTTTTACTACTTGCCTCTGCAAAGTCACCACCACAACTGGCTAGATGGCAAGGGACAGCACAAAGTACACTGCTACAATGGTCCAGTCCTCCCAAATTTACTCTGCACATTCTCGAGCGAGTCACATTACTCACTTTTTGCATTAATTTTCTTGTTTGTAAAATGGGGCAGTCCTATCCATTTCAAAAGGTTCTTGCATGAATTAATTATAAAAGTACTTGACAAGTAGAGTATTACCCAAAAGTTCCTATTTTTTTTCTAATCATAGTAATGCTTTCCAATTCCACCCTTAGGTACCTGAGCTCCGAATCTACTATTCCTAATAGTTGAATTAACATTTCTATTTTGATCAAATGAAATGAGATTTTTCATCTTCCCACAGAGCTAGTTACCTCTCACAATTTTTTTTTTTTTTTTTTTTTTGAGACAGAGTCTCACTCTGTTGCCTGGGCTAGAGTGCCGTGGTGTCATCCTAGCTCACAGCAACCTCAAACTCCTGGGCTCAAGCGATCCTCCTGCCTCAGCCTCCCGAGTAGCTGGGACTACAGGCATGCGCCACCATGCCCGGCTAATTTTTTCTATATATTTTTAGTTGTCCAATTAATTTCTTTCTATTTTTAGTAGAGACGGGGGTCTCGCTCTTGCTCAGGCTGGTTTCGAACTCCTGAGCTCAAACAATCCGCCCGCCTCGGCCTCCCAGAGAGCTAGGATTACAGGCGTGAGCCACCGCGCCCGGCCTCACAATTTTTTTATTTTGGTGAAGTATGTCTTTTCCTCTCCGTTTATAACCCAGTCAGTCCAATGCCTTGTCAGTTTTCTTTCGTTACATCTCTTGAAACTGCTCTTTCCCACCCGTTTGCAAGGCCGCTAAGTCCAGCTCCTCACCTTCTCTGCCTTCTAAGAGATTTTCACCTGCCCCCTCAACCTTTCCTTTCCAAATCACTTAGAACCTTGTCATTATTCTGTTTGTCATGTCTTTCCCCTATTCAGAAACTCTGAAAGATGTCACCTTGTTGCTTACATGATGGATTTAACATCCATTAGCATGTTATTTAAAGTTCAACATAATCTGGCTTCAGTCTGCTTTTCACATTTGATCTCCTATCATTCTGCTTTCTGACCACCCCACTCCAGCTAATGGATCTGTTTCCTGTTCCCTGACCCTTTGCCTGACTTTCCAGCTGACTCTCCACACTTGTTCGTGGTTTTTATTTGCCTGGAATTCTCTCCTCCTCTTTGTCCCAATCTTCTTTACCTTTTGGAATAATGCTGCATAATACTTTGTCTATTTTATGGGATTCCTGAATTTTTATCTCCATTTCTGTTTTTGACATCGTATTCAACTTCATGTTATTTATTTGCCTAAACATGCCTTATAAGAATTTTTCATATTCCTTTCTATTTCTCAAGTGCCTTCCCCTTAATAGGAATTTATTATATATTTTAAAGTGTCACGGGTAGTTTAAATTTTGTTCTATGTTTTTCTAAGAATGTAATGGAGGCGTCCCTTTAGAAGAATGAGTTAAAATCTGCTCATAAGCAGAGCATTAAACTTGTTGACCTCACTTCATCTACTTTGAAAGGAATTAGGTCCATTTTTTCAGAGAACTCGGTTATAGCTTGTTGAACTGGGATATGTAAATTCTTATTTAACCTGATGAAAATACTGGCATTTATAAAAGATTTGTCCCAGGAGATGACTAGTAGACAATGACCCACTTAGGTGAGTGTTAAACGTTATCTGTAGATGTTTCTAAATTTGCTGAAATTTTCTCCATCTCTTCCCAACAGGTTTCATAAAAAACTTGCCTCTGTTTTCTTGTCCATTAGATAACTATAACACTGAATAATATTTAGTTCGATGATCATACTTTATTTTAATTCTATACTAACAACATACTTTTTTGTTTTTTTACAGTACTTTGGAAGTTTACTTGTCATTTTCTGTGTAGAACTGGCTTGTGGCGTTTGGACATATGAGCAGGAACTTATGGTGAGTTCAAAATGGAATATAATCACCATCTAAATCAATAGCCATTTCAACCTTTTAAATTAGATACTTTAGAGTAATTAAAGCATGTGATTATTAATTTGTTAATGCTACATGATAACAATGAATAGTTCCAATACTTATGAAAAATAACATTTCCCTTTCTGTGTCCAAAGCATCACATTTCCACACCATAACTTGTAATATTGTATCGTGTATACTATGATAATGTCTTGAATTCCACAGATTGCTTAAACATGGATATAATAGACTAAAAATAGTATATGTTCTAAAATAATTTTACCAACTTCTGATTTAATAATAGGAAAGATTCACACTTGTAACAAGATTTGCTTGAGAATGCTTGAATACCTGCATGCAAAGCCTTATCTAAGGCTGACTGGCACAACTGAAGACTAGGAAGCCTGCCTCTCCTGTTTGCAGCAGGCTAAACCATCTTCCACTTGAAGAAGTGTATTTGAAGAGTTGCTATGTGTTTAGCACAGTCTAGAAACACTCTCACAGTTTGACACCTGGTTACTTGAAAGCAGCTCTCCATCATTTTTTTCTCTTTTATTTCAGCAGTTGAAATAGCTGGAACAACTTTTATAGCTGTGATAGAATGAAGGAGGATAAGAATTTCTCAATCTTAAGATTTTACCAGTCATGTTTTGTTTACCTCTTGCACTTTACCCTTGCTTGCATTGGGTATTAGTCCTTATTTCATATTTGCTCACTTCATTGGTGAAAAATTAGTGCATTTATTACTGGTGAGGTTGAGCACTTTACATGTATGTGAATGCTGGCCGTTTTCATGGAGGCAGGCCAGATTTTCCACCGTGAACATCACAGAGTAATTTTGTTTTAGTAAAATGGTATTTTTCACCATGTAGTTCTTGGACCATCTGCAGTAAGTGTCATGCAGAGTGATTCTTAAAAATGTGTATTATTGGGCTCCAGCCCAGAGGTACTAAATCAGAATAGAGGGAAAAAGCAGAGGAGGAAAGGGCAAAGACTGGGCATTTGCATTTGTGTCAAGTTCCTCATGTGTCTTAAGCATTTAAAAATTAAGAACTCTTAAGAAGAGAGGGAGATGATTATATATTCTATTTGTTTCAGACAGAGGCAAGGCATTTGGAAGCTGGGTAATAAAATCGAAGTTGTCTCTGGTACTGATGTGGTTATTAAAGATTCTGTGGTGAGTCTGCTACTGTGCTGTGAGACTGTTTTGAATACTAAGTAGTAACCACAGATTCGTGGCTACTCTGTGTAGTCCAATTTCCATGGAAATGGGGGTGCTTTGGCGCTCTGCTTGCACACGTATGATCCCTGTGCAGACACACATGCTTCCAATGTAGGATGACTCTCAGTAAGAAGAGAGAGTTATTGAAAAATGGAAAAGTCAGGGCAGGTTCTAACTAGTTTAATATAAAGTTAAAACTTCCTTAAAAATAAAAATCTCCCCTTAAAATAGGAATTCTCTTGCTGTCTTTGAGAATCTTATTTTCACTCCATCCCTAGAAACTTTGAGTATTTAGGGGAGTGAAAAGGTGGTTGATTTCAGGGACTTAGTTTCTATGTTTTGTTGGTAAAGAGATTGTCTCTCTTCATTTTTTCTGTTTTCAAATGATAAATTTATCTCCTAGACATTCAAGCAATAGGCAGTAAATCTTATAATTAGCTCTCCATCCCCTTCCCTCCGCTTGGGACTGTGTTTTGTTTGGCAATGAAAAGGTTTTTTAAAATGAGTGTATTTTCTCATAGATTTTTAAAATGGGTTGTAGAGTGTATATTTCATACTAATATTTTATCAATCTCCTAAGTTATAAAAAGTTCAAAATGAATTAATTTAAGGTGTTTGAAAGCAAATGTTTTGATTCTCATGTCATCCTAAGAAACATGAGGAAACCGAAAGGAATTTAGACTTGTTCAGATACTTTCTTCCATTCTGTTAAGGGTCGGTCTGCAAGTAGCCCCTGAGTGTTGCAGTGCTAGCCGGGTGCCCACTGCCATCTCAGCTGAGCGTTTCCTCACTGTTTTGCTTGTGTAAATCTTTCCCATTACATCATGAGGGTAGAGCAAGGGCTGTTTAAATGTGAAATGTGGAAAGCAGTCCTTTAAAAAAAAAGTTTGTTAGGTTTTTTATTACTTTTGCACTAATAGCAGTGTGAATGAAAAGTGCCATTAAAGTTTATTATCTGTCAAATTTTGCAGAACTCAGCCTTTACACAGAATGGGCTTTGTGCTTTTAGCTGTTCCATGTAAGGAACCAATCAATGTGTGTGTTACTTTATGGCCAGATCCCAGTATTTTGTGCCAGAACCTCAATGGTCTCCTCTGTTTTCTTGCCACATTTGGTCTCAGATTGATTGTGATCACTGTGAGGAAACAACCTATATTTATTTTGGAGGGTAAAATTTTTTTAAAAGATTGTTATGTTAACTAAATCAAGAGACTTGACATCAGTCTGTATCCCCATTCTTTCTTTTTTTCGTACATGTTCACCTCTTGTTCATTATTCCTTCTCTAGATAAAATCTGTCAATCATATTAATTGTTTTAGATTATACATTTCTAGAGAATTTATTTCACTTCCATTTATTTTATGCCCCAAAGGATATGAGATAGTAATAATTTATAGTGAGTAGCTTGAACTTTGGCTAGTCCCTGAAATTTGTTGAAACCATATAAACAGTGTATACCCATTCAGCCCATAAATTAGGGAACAAAATTGTGTACCCAAGTGTTTGGCTGTTTTTTTTGTATTCTGTATTTTCAATTAACAACAAAAAAAGGAAAATTTACAAAGAAAAAAATGAAAAATTTCTGTGGTCAGAAGTTTGTAAACTATTAATATTTCTATTGATAGCACCATCTTTATAAATAAGATTTCAAAATAATCCTAATTGGAGTTCTCCTGGAACCTTATTTACTCACCTCTCCCTTTTCTCCCTTTCTCTTTTTTGGGTTTTGATCTTT